TCCTCCTCATCTTCCTCAGCGAAAGAGTTGACTTCATCAGCATAAAGAAGAGGTCATAAAAAGCAGCACAGCACACAGCGGCGGCAGAGAGAGAGAGCGCAGAGAAACTGGGTGAATGAAGTAAAACACGAGCGCCTCGCTGGTTTCAGAACGAAACACAGGATTCATGCATTTTAAAAAGAAGACACTGCCGTCGGTGCTTACGAGAACTTTTGGCCTTTGGAGTTGGGGTGGTTCTTGGTGATGGGACCTTTGGACTGGATTTAGGGCTCTTGGGTCTGTCAGTACCATAGTCCTCCTCCCATTCTCTGTTGTGTTTTTTCTCCATAGCTTCAATCCTACAGAGATGTACGAAATTATATACACGTTCAAACAATAATTGCTTGGAAGTTCATCACATTTAAAAGTAATGAGTTGTGCACCTTTCCATTTCCTTCTGATAACGCTCCTCCTCTTCTGCAGCTTTCTGAGAGAGCTCCATCTTTCGTCTAGAAAACAAACCAATATCTTCTTGTAAGAGCCAATTAAAGGTTAATTTTATTGGTACTGGTAAAATGATTAGAGGAGAAATATACATGTTTGATGTTAAGAATATAATTTCTAGTTAATTTCAAAATACTGTTTTGTTAAAAGTATAGAATATAGAAGTGCGACATTCTAATGCGCTTTTTAGTATTTTGGGCTTCCGGCACACTGTAATTACGTAGTTGGGGAGTCGGATAAGCTGGAAGCAACACAGTTTTTTGACCGAGTCTTGCCATGTAAATTAAAAGTTTCTATAAACATCTTTTTTGCAAGAAAAGTACCTGGACTTGCTCGCGTTTCAAATGCATGTTGCCGGACTGACTCCTAAAGGTGGTACAGAAGAGTGAAATAGAGACGGAGTGCCGCTACTACACTTCTGTTTACACAACATATTAGTGTACTGGGCTCCTAAGACACAAAATACACTAATCAGCAACCAGTGGGTGAAAGGAATATAGATGTTACTTTGACACCCATGAGCCAGCTAAATAATCTACAGGCAACCCATCGGCCTGCAAAATCTCCAGAGAGCAGTTAATTAGGAT